CCCCTCCCTTCTCGCGTCCCTGGTGCCGCCCGCCGCCCGCCCCAACCCGCCCGCAGCAGCCCCTGCCGACCTTGGACTCACCCCGCCCCCCAACCGCCGGCGCCGCGCCCCCGCCCTCGCAGCCCGTGCCGCCGCGGCTGGCGGCAAGGCGCACACCACTCAGACCGACGCCCAGCTTATCGATCATTTCTTTCGCGACAAGAAGAGGGACGCCGGACACGACCAGTAGAGCAAGCTGAACCAACCCCAAGCCCAGCGCGAAGCCGGGCGGAAGCTGCCCAACGGGCACGAGGGCGGATGCTAGCCGGCCCCTCGCGATTTCGGGCCGCCGCCGACCAAGGGGCCGTGGCGCTGCCAAGCGCCCCTTTGCCCCCCTTACGCTTTGTGCAGGGAGATGAAGCAAGTAGAGCGGCGATTGGGTGGGCCCTGTAAATGGGCCGCTGGGCGCTGCCGCAGCTCAAAGGCCTGGCTTCTGCAGTCCTGCACCACGCGTTTCGAGCCCGTTTTCGGGCCGCCGCGATTTTGAAGCGCCGCCCTTTTTGAGACGGCGTCGGCGAAGCGGCCGCGCCCGTGTGTGCCCCTGCGCCGCCGCCGTGCGCCCGCGTTGAAACACCACGCAGGCCCTGCGGCGGCACTTTCAGTGGGCAGAGATGCCTCCAGCACGCGTCCACGCGCGTGCACACGTGCGCGGCGCCGCTGCCGGTCGGCTTGCGCCCGCGCATGCCCAGTCCTATGCCCCCTGCCCATGAAGCGGGGTTTTCACGGGCTCGCTTGTCATCTCTCTTGCGCTCTCACTCTCTTTGTTTGTCATGACAGACGACGGCCCCTTGGCAGCGCAGCAAGCCTGCTGCTGCCGGCAGACATCACCAGCCCCACCCGGGCTCAGCAGCACCCTGTTCCTGTTTCGCACTTCTGTCCAACTCACAACCCTTCTACACAACACATGCACGCGTGGCTGAACGCGGGCACGAGGCCCACATACCATCAAAGCACTGCCGGCACTACTTTCCAGCGAGCGGTGGCGCTTTCTTAAGTGAGGCCCCGCAGGTGCACAGGCTCGGGCGCGCATGGGGGGTTCGTGAGAGGATTCCTAGCGCGCCGCGCCCGGCTCTGCGTGTTGTTACTTGCCATTTAGGTTGCTGCACTACAGCTCGCAGCTACTGCTGTACTCTGCCTGCGTCCTTTTCCTGCATGGCTGCGTTGAAGCGCGCGATGAGCAGAAAGTGGGCGTGCCCCTTGGCCGTCTGTCTTTTCAACAGCGGTGGGCTGTGTCCATGTGTTGCGCGACCGCTTGGTGCATTACTTGGTGTCAATGCAAACTAGGTGGACGATTAGGACAGTGTAACGTCCGTGATTTGTCCAGTAGAGTGGACACCGGCTCTGCAGGTGCGGGTGAAGCTGTTCTGTGCGTGCGCAAACCAGATGTGTCCTATGCTGACAGACTATCCATATCAAGAATAGAGAGTGAGTGATAAGCGAAAAGCCCCGGAACGAAGGTTTGTTGAAAAAAGTTGGGTACTTGTTGAAAAAAGTTGGGTACTAGTTGCAAATGTAATGATCCTTTTGCAGCGCGTCATGCAGCCTTGCAAACACGCCATCGTGCCAGGTCCTGAACTCCGCCCACTCCTCCGCCGGCATGGTTTCGAAAAAGCAGTTGAGCCACCCGCCCACGATCAGATCCGCGTAGTTTGCCTGCTGGCCTTCCAGGTAGGGGCCATCGTGGACCTTGAAGCACGCCGCCAGCGTCGCGATCGCGTCCTTGAACGCGGCCATCAGCTTCGGTCGGTCCTCCGGCGGCACGCGCAGCGTCTCCCACGACGGCAGGTGCGCGCGCTTGGCGAAGAGCACGCGGCACTCCTCCGCGGTCTCCGGGTTGAACGGCAGGAAGTAGCCGACCAGCTGCATGTTGACGGTGAACGTCGTGTCAACGTTGACGTTGAACTCGGCGTACTCTGGGTTGTCGGCGCCGTCGCGAATGCTCAGGGGTGCGTAGAACACCGAGTCCTTGAAGGGGGTGACGTAGTCGAGCCCTGTGCGCGTCGAACCCTTAGGGAACAGGCAGCCGCCCGAGTCGGGAAACTGCTGCTCCAGGTAGTTGGCGATGTCGAACGAGTCGCCGACGACGGCGCCGGAGGCCGGGTCCTGCAGCATCGGCAGCGTGTAGTAGTCGGAGCCGTCGTCCAGCTTGCGCACGGCTGCGCAGTTGAGCGCCTTGCGCGTCGCGGGGATGTCCAGGATGTCGACCCACTTGGTGGTGAAGGGCACGCGCTTGAAGCTGAGCGCGAGGCGCGTCTTCGAGGGGTTGGGTGCATAGGATCGGGGCTGCAATGGGGACGAGATGTCGTAGAAAATAAGGGGAGTGCTCATGGTTCGACAAGGGCGTGAGATCTGAGTCTGCAAGCTCGAAGCAAATCGATTGCACCAAAAATTTTGAAGTTGTGAAATGACTGTGAAACGAATGTGAACTCCGCCGTATGGAAAAGTAAGTGCTTCACAGGCAACTTAGGAAGATGGAAGCGATGACTTATCAACCATGTACTAAGTTCATAATTGTGGCAGTACCATCATCTGTTGGCATGGTAGTGATGACGTGCCTGTTATGCATAGGATATGCACGACTGCTCTTGCATCCAACCTTGGCAACCCAACCCTGCGAGCCTCCAGCTGCGGTCTGAGCTGTGCATGCCTGACCCACGCCCCCCCCCCCCCTGCCCGCAGTGCGCACCGGTGGGGCAGCGGGGGAACGGGCGGTTGCTCCTGAACCTCGCGCCCGTCCCGAAAACATACTGGGTGCCCAGCGCCCGGTCCACTCCACTCTAACCGCAGCGCGCCAGCCGCGCGAGCGGGCGCTTGATGCGGCGGCTTAGCCTGATCACCTGCCTGGTGTAGCGGGCGCAGTACGTGCCGTAATTTGTGCTGCACCCGCGTGGCGTTGCTTCCTCGAGTGCTGGGGTCGCGCTACGCCTGCCTGCCGGCGTATTTAAGTCTTGCGTGCGCGCGTTGCGTGGGCTGGTCGACACTGTGTTTGCATTGCAAATAAGGCGGAGCCAAAACAGTAGGTGGTGCTAAGCCGCAGCTGTCCGGTAACACAACCGCATCCTGCAAGTTTTTCGGGGCGCATGGCAACAGGGCGCCAGCGGCGGGATGTTTGCAAGCACAGGGCCGGTGCCGCTGCCGCAACTGGGCACGGCTGGATACAAGTTGGGCCAGGAGGTTTTGTGGGTGTGGGCGGCGTGGGGGTCTGGATGAACGCTCTCATCTTGCACACGAGCTGCCTGCCCGCAATGCCTGGGTGCCGCGTCAATACAGTTGGCACCGGCGCCACGCATCGTGCCAGTGCCTGCCATCCAAGGAGCCCAACTGCCAAATCAGCGATGCTTTGGGTGCGCGCCCGAAACGCCACCCCATACATCAGTACCCGGCACGTAAAGTTTTTTTGAAATCCAGCCTCGTCCCAGGCTGACAACGCCGTGCGCCTGGCGGCGGGCCGCAGCGCTGGTGTTCCACGTGTCAATGACAGCGCATGGCCCGCGCCCTGCGCCCAACTCCATCCGCGCTGGCGGCTGCCCAGGGGTTTGCCCCGGGACAGCTCCTTGCTCAGCGTCCCCTCTCCCTCATCCCGTATGGAATGCAATGATGCATCCGCGCGCCAACCCCACCCGGCTGCCGGCACACCCTGAGCACCCGGCCCCGCGCCGTGCCCGCTGCTGTGAATCGCGAGCAAGCAGGGGCTGGCCGAGGCGCCGGGGGCCCTTCCCGCCATCGACTCGCCGCGCCGCTTGGGTTTGCACGCCCTCCTTTGACTGCCCCGCGCTACCTGCCGTGCCCCATGAGGGGCTGCCTGATGCCCAGTATGCCCAGGCACAGTAGGAGAGGCGCCCGCCTGGGTGAACGAGGCGAGGCAGCTGGCAACCAGGGTCCGATCGCGTCCAGGGCTGTCTGTGTGTGCAAAGCATTGCCATTTTACCGCCGACCAGTCCGCGCGGCAACAGCAGGGCCCCCGACAGGCGAAAAGCACGCAATAGTCTATTCAAAATGGGCGCGTCGGTCGACTCAAAATGGCCCGGCGCCGCCGTTGCCACCAGAGATGCTGACGCCGCAACCGACTGGGGAACGTCAACATATCAGCCGTCAGACCTCCCAGCGCCAGATCGTCAGATCGCACTCAGATCAGCCTATGGCTCAGGCCTTGACGTTGGTGATCTGGGCGGTCTTGTCGATGCGCTTGAAGATGCCCGCGATGACGGCGCCGGGGCCGACCTGTTGGGTTTCAGTTGTGACAGATGAGGTGAGGGTGGTTGCAGCTTATCTGGGCTCACGTGCCGACCAGCCGTCGGATCGCCCAGGCCATGGCTGCGCGCCCCCAATTCAGCACGCCTGTCTAGTACCGGCTTTGCGGATTGCAGCCCCGGTGCTGGGCAAAGCCCTCCGCCACCCATCCACCCACCCACCCACACACACACACACGCACGCACGCACGCGCGTCCGCGCGCGCGCACACACACACACACACACACACACGCATGCGCACATACACACGCACAGTTATGCACACACATGCATCCTCACCTCGTAGCTGTTCTGCAGGCCCTTCTCCAGCAGCGTCTTGACCGTGGTCTCCCACTGCACCGGTGACGTCAGCTGGGGTCGTAGAGGGGAGGGAGGGGGGGGGGGGTTGAGGGCAGGTATGTCAGGTAATGGTGGAAATGCACAAGACTTAAAAAATGGATTATGGGGTTGCAGTCAAGGGTTTGCTGGGAGTCAATGGCGGCACTGCCCGCTGACTCAGCTGCAGGGCCACCGGGGAAATCTGCGGATGCAATGGCGGCCACAGATCATCACCAGCGAAAGATTGGATCAGATGGAACTATTTGACTCAGGTATAATCACCTGCTGCGCAAGGATGGCCTTGATGGTGGCCGGGTCAGAGTGGGGCTGGGCGTCCACGTTGGAGATCACCTGGGCAGCGGTTGTTTGGATGGAGATAGTTTTTTTT